GGATTTTGCTCGTTTTGATCATTTTTCGTAAATTTGATTGATTGATTGAATATGTAATGGCAGAAATATTGTTTACGTAGGAGTTTTGAATTTTGGTTCGAGTCTAGTTGATTTTTAGAAAATATATTATTAGATATGAGGAAAGTTGTATAATACATCCATTTTTAATAGGTAGACAGCAATTAGCGGATTAGAACGGAAACCATATTTCTTAGCAAAGTGGACTAGTATGTCAAGTGGAGTTCAATACGAAAATATCTAAAAGATTTATAAATTTTCATTATTAAAAGGTAATGTCACTAAATAAAACAACTTATCACCTTATACATTATAAAAATAACGATCATATCTTATATAGTGGTTTGTATTAGTATCATTATTATGTTATTGTATTGATTCAAATTTATATATTTTCATTTTGTGGACTGTATATAATATATGTTTAGCTAACTATAATTATTTTTTTCGTTCATGGTGAACACAATTTCTAGCTCTAAAAAAACGATTATAAGAATTGGTTTAGATTCACCTACAGTTCTTAAAGGTTGATTGTTTTACCAAAATATTTTCGGAACCACATAATGTGATATTTTCTGGTGCAATAATAAAAAAAAGATTAATGAATAAATGCATATCATTTTCCTTAAGTAGAACATTTGACGATTTAAGCATGAAAATCTGCGGATTTGGGATGGATAATAAAAGATCGGCATGGCCACACCGAAGCGAGAGGAGCCAGAACTGCGGACCATATCTGCTCACCGTTGATGGCGGAGGCTCTGGCTATGAAAGAAGCTCTGGCTATGAAAGAAGCTCTATTCCAAGCATCGTCAAGAACATAAAATGATTTGTAATGGGATCGAACTCCCAACAACTCATCAATCTACTCAAAACAAACAAGATTCAACTAGAGATTTATGGAATCCTACAAGACATCATCAAAATCGCAACCTCTCTAGAAATCTCTTTCGTCTTTGTGTCTAGATACGAAAATGAAGAGGCTGATGCTATGGCAAAATCAGCTCTCACCTCTGTACCAAACAATCCGGTCCAAATCCCGGTTTAACCGAATGAATGAAACCAATCTTTTGATCAACAAAAACAAAGCATGGAAACGCAATTTAAGGTGTTTTTTTTGTACAAATCAACCTTACCAAACTGTCTTGGAGTTCTTTAGTCAATGCAACCCATAAACACTTAACTTGGAGACAAAACACATCATGTAGCCAAACACGAAGTTGAATATTTGTTATTTTAGTTCGATTTTTCGCTGAAGAGAAATGATATATGTCTTAACAGGCTTATCAACTATTGGTCTAGACCAAAGAAAATTATAGATCGCTAGCTCAGAACTTTCTTGTAAACAAAAACAAAAAGCACATAACGTCTCCAAAGAATAGTATATACTACTTCATAATTCAAATATTGCTCGAGTTACTTTCACTATAGTCTATAGGTATATAGATATTACACCAAGAATAATATATGTTAATTAAAATAGATTGAAATGATTTACTTTGGCATCAAACCAATTTAGTATTATAAACCTATTCATTAGAATTACGACCGCTGACCTTATAACATAATATCGTAAACATTATGAGCTTTAATTTCTATTTATTCCTCTGAATTCTGATCTTTCTCTGGTCATATTCGATATATATTTTAAGATCCAAGATCATGACCATGATTCATTCAAACTATGATTGTTTAACATTTGTATTTACATCTTAGTAAATTATAATTATCATCATCCAAAATGTTGTATGCAAACGTAACGACTTCTTTCCAGATAATCTATATAGATGTATGAACGAGAGAAGTATGAACGAGAGAAGACTTAAAGACTATATTTTGGTTTTAAGAAGATGATGAATATCATACAATAATTAAGAATATAGTGATTGAAAATGATAATGTTTAGAAAGCTGACTTTGAGCAAAGTCATAAGATAAGTCGAAAATCAGGTGCGGAATCTGGCAATTAGTGGGATTGTTTTGGAACTATCTTCCGGTGAAACTTCTCCGACTTCCATATCCAACCAAATTATCTTCCTTATTTTCCGGTTACTACTCTTGGCTTTTTTTGATGTCATGTGTTTGAAGTTCCAATTAAAACACTAGTGTGGGTCTATCAATATTTTGGAATTATACTTGTAGAATTTTAATTTTAACTTGTGTTTTCTAAAACTCATGTTTTTGTTACAATTAAGTTTGACTTTGCTTTTGTGTGGAAAAAATGTGTAGGCTTTCATTTCAGTTGCAGCCAAGTTAAGAAAGATAATTTGCGAATATAGGAAAACAAGTTACTCGAATTTTGAGATAGAATTTTCGATAAAATCGAAATGATAGTTAAATACATACTCCATCCGAGAATATTGAGATGATGTGGAATTAACATGTTCACTCCTTAAATAGTAAAAATGAAGATAATTAAACCAATGACATTTGCAATTCTAACAGGAACCAAGTAAATAACAATAAGTGAATTAACAATAGTGGTAGTAAAGACAATGAAATATAAACATAGATAAGTATTGATAAACCGTGGGATTTTCGAACCTTTGGCTCATAATCTCTGCGGTACCCGGAGATAGTTTTTAGAAATTCCGATTTAAAGAATAACTTTCCGTCCCAAAGGGGATTTGAACCTGGGGCACAAGGGAACCAACCCCTTGTGTTACCACTAGGTCACCACTCCTTTGGTAGCATAGATAAGTTAACAAGTAGGTATTGTTTACCATTTTCGTAGGTTGTTAAAACCAAATACCAAGTATCATTAGTAAAACACAATATTCTTTTTATTTTATTTTCCACAATCGTACTTCACTTATCGGACAAATACCTATAAAAATATTTGTTAACCAATAAAGGACCGAAATACCAATAAATAGAAAAAATTGATTTTTTCAAACGAACATTAAGTAGGCCTGCTTATACCATTTTTTTTTTCTCTAGGGCAGTGCACGAGGACGAACTTCGAAAATGACTATCTTAAAACAGTTTCATGATTATTTGAGGGTAAAACATTGTTCATTCTGAATTCCCGATTAGGAGTTAGTAAAACATACAATATCATTATCTTAGAAAAGTTTCATGATTGTTTGAGAGAGAAGCCTAGTTATTACAATAATATATTTGAAAGTCTCTATGCAATGAGGATGCTCTAAGTAAAACGTAAAAAGAATATACAAAAACTTGTTAAACTCCTCCAGTGTTATATAGAAAAGCAAAACAAAATATGCTTTTAAGCAATAAAAAGTTCAAACACGCATTTGAACAGCCCGATAACTAGAGACTAATATATATAGTTTAGCGACGGTGAATTCGCGTATTAACAGTCGTCGGTGCAACTTTTACTATTCTTGGACCAGACCGATAAGCCCCAAGATCCACGTCATCACTTCTCCCACAACCTGTCCTTGGAGCCATCAGAATCATTCCTTTCCACAAATTTCTCATGCTCACCTTTTTCACCAACCTATTCTCCTTTTTACTCTCATCCTCAAGCTTATTATAATGATGACCATGATCATGCCGGTAAACACTGGCCCGATTAGCAGGCAAAGAACCCTCATTAATTCTCTTGGATATACTTTTGATTTCATAAGGGTCTAGGAGACTAGAGAACTGGGTTTCTTGATCTACACGCAACAAAGGATCATTGTACGGTTTAGATACTCTATTCTCGGAGAGGATCATGTTCTTCTTGGCCTCGAGCTTGTACCGCGAAGGTCGAGGTGTCCGTGTGGCTCTTGTTGTCAGATCGAATTCTCTAATCATTGGTTTTCCTTCGTTTCTTTGATACCAAGCCCAGGCCGCAGCTTTCACAGTCGCCAGCTCATCATCTCCTCTTCTTCCTCCTCCAGTGAAGAGTGTTGGTGGCCATCTCATCTTTCTCCTATTGTTTCTGATACTAGTTGGTGTTGAAATATAGTAGTTGGGGCATGGAAGCATTGGTCATTGATTATAATTTTGGATTTGTGGGATATGAAGGGTACACGTTGGTTGATAAGGGAAAGGCTAAAAAGAATTGAAAATTATGTTATAAATAAATAAATAGGTATGGCCTATGTGTGAGAATAATTTATAAAAATGAGAAAAAGAGTAGTAGTTGTTGTGTTTGCTTTTGGGTCCATTGGTGGATGGATACATGAATTATTCCGTTGTATATTTGTTGGACGTGCATTTCGAACTTCCTATATTCAACATTCCTAATATATGAAAGTCTAGGAATAAGTTTTTATTCAACAACAAAAGACATGTTCATCCCAATAAAGATGCAATCCATAGTCATGAGCGAACTATGGAATAAATACCAAATGTGGATGGCCTAGTGGTAATACAAGGGGATTGGGTTCTTTGTGTACCAGGTTCAAACCTCTTTTGGTACGGATGGTTATTCTTTCAATCGAAATATCTAAAGACTACCTCTGGGTACCGACGAGATTATGAGCCAAATGTTCGGAATTCCCACGGTTTATCAAAAAAAAAATTCAAAAAAAACTATGGAATGGATCGATTTACATTCAGAATTAGCAGAGCATCGACAAACCATAAGAAGAAGAGTT